TAAATAAATAATTATATGAAGAAATAAGATTGTTATTACTTTAATAATTTTATATATTTTATAAAACTGTTTTAATTGTAACGGTCTACAAATATTAAATTAATTACTCTGAGTAATTTAAAATTATAAAAATCAGTCTAATTTTTCGAAATTTTGGAAAATAGTATGCCCTATATATTTATATTACTTAAAATAATTAATTTTTAACAATTGTTTATTATAGTTTGTTGTGTTATTTAAAATAAAACTCTGAAATATTTTAACGTAAATAAGAAATAATTAAGTAAAAAAATATACAAATCATCCCTCCTTGACTATTAATTATTTATTAATTATTATCTAAAAACATCAAATTATGTAAATTTACCGAAGAATTATGTATCGTGACATCATTAAAATGTCGAACTAAAATTTTGTATCATATTTTAATTGATTTAATTTGAAATTTATGTTCTTCGCCTCAGGTTAGTAGTCGCATGATCCTGTACATCATGTTTTTCTGTTAGCAAGAGTCGTTCTAGTCATTTACCTAACACATTTCCTGGGAAATTTTAAATTATTAACGAGACTTCTGGTTCACAACGGAATTTCGGATACAGTTCATCGGGTCTTTCTGTCACTGACGTTTCTATACTTTTTATTCAGTTTAATCTTTTTATTCCCGTTCTCAAAATTAAAGAATAGCAGACAGACAAACACCGGACTAACAGACAGCAGACAACATTGAGAATTTATAGGTCTACTTTATTTCTCAAATTGCAGCCCAAACACATGTATATGCTGTTATGAAAAATATATTTTTCTAGAATATATAGAAGAATAATAAATATAAAAGCTTATTTATGTTCTACGTTTGTAATTTTTGTTTATTCTTAAGTCTATTTTTTTCGTGTTACGGTTTTACAATGTAAAAGAATTAGATAAACAATAACAATATTAAACTATAAAAAAATATTAAATTAATTATTTTAACTATAAAATGATACTGTCGCTTTAATATTAACAATTTCTACAATTTAAACCTAGCCTAAATATTTTAAATATACAGTAGCTATATTATTTAAAAGAATGATTAAAAATACTAAATCTAAATACTTTATAATCTATTATTAAAATAAATAAAATTGCATTTAAAAATATTATAAATTTAATAACTCTGTATGAGTAGAGATTATATATTGATTAAGAAAACGTTTATTATAAATAAATAAAATATGTTTGAAACGAAAAATAACACTTTTACATCTATTGCTCTACAAGATTAAATTAAACAAATAAAAACAAAAATATTCATGAAAAATAATTTATAAATATTTAAATTTTATATTAATTAAAAAGTTAATTTAATAGATTAAATAATTTATTTTATCGTGAATATTTTAAAAGAGATGTATGTTTTATTATGAATTTCATATGTTTGTAGATTTACATATTTTCATATTTTTATGTAATACATAAAAAATAGTCATTATGAAAGATAATTTATAGTTTTCCTTCGTTGATTTCTTTACGTTAAAATATTTTAGAATTTTATCATAAATAACACAATAAATTATAATAAACGATTTGTACAAACTAATTATTTTAAGTGATATAAAATATAAATATGTTACGGCCTAAGCCCGATTTGGCAGGCCATTTCGCACTCTGACCGAAAGGAGTTGCCAATATCAGATGTACTTGAAATTACCAGTGTATATGCGACTTTGGTCAGCCACTTCGCGAAGTGACAGAAAATTTCTGGCCAAAATTCGATGTGCTGATGCAAGACTATCCAGTAGGCTGCACATCTTTGCTTCCGAAGTGCTGGTGCCGTGTACGTGCTAGCAAGGAAGGTGCCACATTGTGACAATAATATTCCTTATGTCTGCTGCTTTTCGAAGAAGGTCCTGCCTCTGTGACTTGTTCTTATTATTTTCACATAACGGTTTCATTGTGAGTACTGTATCCCTCCTATTTTTATAGTATTCTATATGGATACTTTGAGGCCGAAGGTTAAGTCGTAGTGTACGTATATGTGTTGTTGGGATGTGTGATGACACACATTGCTGGTAGAAGCATATATAGTAATTATGCTCTGGTTAATAAAAGATTGCTTGCTACAACACGTTTTCCTTTAAAGTAATGCATAAATTAGCAACAGGACACAATTTACTGGGGCAGATATCCCATGTTACAATATTACAATTTCAAATATTCATAATTCTTATTCCATAGAATGTTCCATAGCTACTTCTGATAAGACAAATATGCTGGGTGAAGTTAGACTACACGTAAATGCGGAACCAACATTTGCTAAGAAAATCAGGTTCTCGGATTCTTTTAAATATGTTGCTGCAAATAAACGAAAATAGCCGTTTACTTGTATCCTCATCAGATACAAATTCGCCGCTTTTATAGAGGTCTTTCAACAGGCAAAAGCAAACAGAGAAAAGAAAGTGTGGACTTTCATCGACTAAGAAAGTACGATGTTATTGAAGTTGACGGCAAAGAAACACTTATTGTGCCAATAACAGGACACAATAGCGATATTTTGTACAATGTTCATACAGAAGAACTTTTCGACATATTGCACGATACCCATTTGAAAATTGTACATGAAAGTCGCACACGGATATAAAACGAGCTGCAAACTAAGTTGGAAAATGTCACCACAAAAAGTCATTTCATTGTACAGTTCCTCTGCTTATGCAAGCTATATCAGACCAAATTTTTAGCTGACGGCAAGTACATGTTTTTACTGAATTATCAGAATCATTTAACCAAGTTTATATTATTGCGACCTCTGAAAAGCAAACGAGCAGAAGGTGCTTACCAGCTTCTTCATATCTTCACCACAATAGGTGCTCCAAGTGAGCTTCAATCAGATAAATGGAGAAAATTTACGAACCGAGTTATTAATGGATTAAAGAACATAAGGCATGAACTGAAAATAGTACACGGAAAACCGATGCATAACCAAAGATAAGATCCAGTTGAACGTGCCAACCAGGATGTTCAGAATATGATGAATGCAGATAAATAAATTAACACATTGGGCTAAGGGGCTCCGATTTATTTAATTCATGAAAAACCGTTGTTTTCTCCAAGGCGTTCAGCAGTTGCCCTATGAGACCAGGATTGGCTGCAAACCAAAACTGAGGCTGAGAATTTCAAATCTGCCCGGAGAAATCGTATAAAACTTACAAACGACCATGACTTGTTTCTTTTGACATTTGCCGATCGCCCCAACCATTTCGCAAACTGGCCGGCCAAATTCCAAAATCAAGAAAAAATCGGACATTTACCAGTAAGTTCACAGTGACATTGGCCATTTTGCGTTGTGGCTGGACACTTCGAATTTTGGTCGATTTCGGGCCAAAGCCCGAATACTGCCAAAAGTGAAAGTGTCCTATATATATAGGCTATACCATTGTCCTTAATTGCGAAAAAAATTATTAACTGATTTTTATTATTTTAAATGATTCAGTGTTGTTATTTTAATATTTGTAACCCATTACAATTAAAACAATTTTATAAAATATATAAAATTATGAAAATAATAAATAATTAAATGAAAAATAAAATGTTTAATTGTTATTTAAAAATATAAATAACAATTAAACAGTTGTTAATTTTCACAATTGTATACATGTAAATAACAATCTCGATACATTGTATACGTACAGTACATGTGTATGATTATTTATGTAATAACATAAACTTTTTATTTAAACAAGCAACAAGAAAAACATTCATTTATTTATCTTTACAGAAGTAAATTTTAGGCAATGAGACACTATTTAAATTTAATGGATGTTGGATAATAGACAGATATCAAAAGACAAAAGCAAAAACTAGAAAAATGAACAAGAGAACAAAGTGTTTTGTTTTCTGTCATTGATAGAAGACTTGCTCTTCTCTCTCTGCTTTTTTATTGGTGAGGTCCGAAGACACATAACTTATATTGTGAGAATACTGGGACCGTTACTTTAGTGATTAGCAAAGTACCCAGAACTTACGGACCACTCACGTTGTCTAAGGATGGCTAAATCGAATGGAAGTAAAGATCAAGATTGTGTGATCTCGATCACGTCACGATGCTGACATCAGTTAAACTATTGTTTTCGCAGTTTAACTCGCGATTCACTTAACTGTTGCTATTTCTAGAAGGAGAGCTAAATTATTTCGAGTGTAGAATGCATAGATAAAGGAATATGATGTCTGGCCATGAAAAAACCAAAGACAGTTAAAAAAGGAATAACAACATTTAATAATATAAAATAAAATAAAATCAGTCTCACAAATAGATTATTCCAACATTAAATCTATCTTAACTATCTTGTTCTTAGTATGAGAGATATGAGAGACTTTTCCCAATAACTTGATTTTTCCCAATTCTATTTGGTGGTAGGAAGTTTCAACCCCCGGTAGTATGACACACATTCATAATAAGAGGAAATTAGACTTAATTTTGTCCCTCTCCCCGTCGGGGAAGGGGTTTCGATCTCTATATAAAGTAAAAACACGCGCGTATTCGAATGCAATGTTGTGTCAAAATTTCAAAGCAATAGGTTAAGAACTTTCGGAGTTTTACGATTGTGAACAAACGAATATTTACATTTTTATTTATATAGATTACAAATATTTAAACTAAATATAAGTTTTTAATCTTAAGAAAATTGCTAAATAGAAAGGTATTTTAATGGATTTTAGAAAAATTTTATTTTTCTACCACACCTGATATTAAAAAAAAAAATGTTTATTGTTTGTTAATTTCAGATAAGTAATGAAAAGTAAAACTAAACTTGCATAATTGGTCAGATTTCTCTTCATTTTTTTTCAGATAACTTTGCTTATCGTTCTCCTATGACACATTCAAATTGCAAAATGAAATTGGATTGCGTAAGAAGAATTTTTTGCCGTATTTTTATAAAATTAGGAAAAACGGTTGGACGGCATCCATATTACTGTATAGTTTTACCGATTATTCTGTCAATTACTCTCTCCATATTTTCCAGAACATTAACTCCCAGTAAGACATTTAACGATATAATAACTCCTGATAGAGGAAATCTTTTTACAGTGAAAAAATTCATAGAGAATACATTTTCATTTAATTCATCTCAGTTTTCTGATCAGATAAGAACTCCTGATATACCAAATACTCTGGCAATTTACCTGTTGGAAAAATACGAAAGAAACATGTTTGAAAAAAATATACTTTCAGAAGTAAAATTGGTCGACGAAATCATACAAAATATTAAATTAGAGACTGACGGAAAGACAATACAATATACAGACGTCTGCACACGTATACATAAAAAATGCTTTGAAAATGCTATTATCGAAGTGATATCAGAAGTGGGAATTGATTCCATACTACAAAAGAGAAAGAAGCTAAAATACCCTGTAGATGTAGATCTCTTGTCTTTCACTTTTAAAGCCTATTTTATAAATTTAGGAGGTGTTTCTAAAGATAATCAAAATTTCGTTGATAAAGTAAATGCTGTTATGTTATTCTATGCAACCGATGATAAAAATGAAGTAAAAACAAATTGTTTACAAAATGGTCAGCTCAAGTTTATGACACAATTCAAAAATATAATTTCACTTATATCAAAGCTGTTCCAAGTTCTGTTCCAATAATGGAACAAGAATTTCGAAAAGAATTTGATAGAACTAAACCTAAAATTGGAGGTTTGGTCGCAATTATGATTGTTCTTTCGATATTTCTTAATATGAGCAATAGCTGGGTGAAAAGCAAACTTCTTCTTGGTGTAGCAAGTGTAATTAACGCTGGCCTGGCTGTATCGTCGTCTTTCGGATTAATGGCTGCATCGGGTGTTGAATTCACCTACTGGAATGCTACGATTCCATTCTTAGTTCTTGGTAAGTAAATCAATGTCGCTGCAATGTACGTAAGCGATAACGATGATATAATAAAACTTTTGCATGTATTTTAGTTACCGAGATAGATGATGCTTTCGTATTAATAGCATGTTGGAGAATTACTGATTTCAAACATTCAGTTGAAAAACGCATGGAAGTAACATATGGAGAAGCAGGAGTTTCCATTACTTTGACATCACTCACTAATTTCATTTCCTACTGCATCGGGATGATGGCTCCTTTTCCCTTCATCCAAATTTTCAGTTATTATACTGCAACTTGTGTCGTTTTGAATTTTGTATATCAGATAACATTTTTCGGAGGATGCTTGGCTTTGAGTGGATATAGAGAAGAACGGAATCTTCGTTCTAGAAAATTTGTCAGATGTGGTAAGTTGAAATTCTTTTATAACGAAAGATTACTTTTTATTAAATTAATTATTTAAATTTTTGATATTTAAGATGATGTTTGAGTGATACTTTTAGATTACAGGAATAATATTTGTTATCTAAATTTTTTGTTATATAAATTTAGTTTAGTTAGTTGATATGTTATCTGAAGTAGACATAGAATGTTAATGTTCTTATGGTGTTTTGCACTATACTGTATTACAAAAATTGTAATTAATATAAAATTTATATTTTATCGAGCATTGATTCTGCTGGATAAAAATGTTTGTCGTTGGGAGATGTGTATTCTAAAAAGTAACATATGGGATGACTTAACCAAATAACCTGAATAAAATCGGTATAGTCTTTGTCACATGAGGTTTTTGTCAGTTATAAGTGAGATTCACTTGCAATGCCCACATGACGAGCAGAAGCACACACTCGTAAAAATCACAGGAAAAACGGAAGAAGTTGCATAGAAATTTATGATGCAGAATATGTACAGTACAAAGAAATATATTTTTCCTATCGATTTTCGTTTCATTTTTCATTTCATTCATTATATTGATATTGCTTTTTACATTGAGCTCGAGAAGTTTCGTTTCTTGATGATATCTAGATTAGTTTTGAACCTACCTTTTATACATTACCTTACATTAATGGAAATGTACAAAATAACAATCATACGTACCTTACCGTTAGGAATTTTGGTATAATAGAAATCATAATATGTCTGAAACATGATAAAATTTTAACAATACAGAGAATAAACCAGAGCTGTGGAGTCGCGTGAAAATCTACCGACTCCAACTCCGACCAGGGGCGGACTTGTTACCGAAAAAGACCCGGAAATTCTGATGTCATTACGTAACCTCAAAATAAAAGATTCAATAAATAGAGTTCTAATAAAGATAGAACATGAAACATTTTATTTCAAAGTTAAAAGACTTCTCTAAGTAATATATAAATATGTATTTGATAAGTTTTACTTTTCCGGCTGTTATATATAACAGAGGATATATAACAAAGTGGAACGCTCGATCAAAAAAATGATCCCTCCTAAATTTTTACATTTTTGGATTCAGAACACCTTGAAATTTCGAGTTAATTAAGTAAAAGATTCGAGGTTTTTTCTATATGGGTGGATGTTAGACTGTGTGGGGGGCATGATTTCGTTCACCCTGTTTGAAGCCTAATAATTTCTGTGGTCAAAGTGGTCAGAATCGGACTCAGATGGTTTAACACTGGAGTTGGTTATTAAGCGTCAAAGTGGTTGAACTAAATCGTGTCCTAATACACATTCTAACATCTTAGGCGAAAATATCTTATCGGTTTTACTGTACAGTACTATTATGATATGGCTAAAAACCTTACTTTGAGGATACAGACGAGTTTTATTTTATTTTTTTAAATTTTGAACGCTAATAACAAGTAAAATATTTATTAAGACATATGACACATGACCCCTTTTATGTCTTCATCCTGTCGACCTTTAATTAAGATCCAAAATTTAATAGTATTAATGCCCCTTTATACGCAAGCTACAGTGCCACACTTCGTTTCTTAAACTTTACCCATTGTGAGATATTGTTTAATATCTCAGAACAGAAAATAAAGAAATTAAACAAATTAGACGCCAACACACACACACAATTTTTCCTCTTTCATTGACTTTTTTGAGGGGTTCAGAATGTCTCCAAACGTGTAGATTTGCAAAATAAAACATGGAGGTCAAATTTGACACGATTCCAATACTTTTCCGTTTTATATACATAACAAGTTGGTAATTAAAAAGGAGTCGGGGTCGGCGGATTTTTTGACGACTCCCACTCCCACTCTGGCTAAAACTCCGAAACTCCACGACTTCGACTGCACAGCCCTGGAATAAACAAATAAGTAAAGGCATGGTGGTGAATACCTAAAAATGGTAGTATCCAATTTGTCAGATATTTATTGAGATTTGGCTTCATAATTTTTTAAACAGATTAAAAATATATTAAAACAGCGTATACAAATAAAAACAGAACAGTCACAATGCATATGTCTTACAGATCGTCATAGTAAGAAAGTTTCAGCAATTGTCGAACGATGAACTTTCAAAATTATGACACTTACGTCATTTTTTGCTTTAAAATGGTTAACAGTTTTCTCTTATTGAAGAAAAAATCATTTTTCGATCTACTAAAACGCTTTGAAAAATATAAATAAAGAAATATATATTGTAAAGTCTTTGTAAATCCGCACTTAAAATGTAAATTTTAAGTGCGGATCAAGTGCGCTCAAGATAAAAGTGCTAAAGGGATGTATAAATAAAACTGTGTACTCAAATGTACTGAAGAGGGACCTTTTTTAGAAAAGGACCGAAATGCATCTATAGTAATAGAATAAAGTGAAATCATTGGCTAAAGCTGTGTGATAGTCTACCGCCAATATTAAAATTTACATTTTAAGTGCGGATTTACAAAGACTTTACAATATATATATAACAGCAGTCATAAGAAATTTAATAAAAATAAATAAAGAATATAATTACTCAGAAACTTTTGACACTAGTTATGCTACCATGAAAATTTTTTGTTATTTTCCTCTTTAATTAAAATGATTACTGTGTTTTTCGATGTATTCTTCTATTTTAGTGTTAAAAAATTTTAATTAAAGCTCTATTTGCGGGTATGAAACATGTTTCTCTGTCATGCCAACAGTGATGTATACATAAATTTAGTAAAAATTTTTCAACAGGACCTTTACAAAAACGTGATTTGTTTGCCTAGGCAATTATATAAATAAAAATGAATAGTACGAAAGATCTGATGGAACCTACAAAAATAATAGACTAAAGCCTAACAAATTTCTCTGAGAGATTGCACTATGTTGCAAGTAATGTAGTATTGTATAAAGAAGAGGTATTTTTTTAAAGGGGCAAGTTTTAAAAGGTAATTTTTTTCCTTTTTTAAATGTTCCTAGTTTCACTTCGCTCTGGTAGTACCACGTTTAAGAATGTAAACTGTTCTTATTTTCGCTGAAAGAATAAAATATAGCCCAAAGGTGAACTGGCTACCTTTCTCATGGGTGCCCAAAGAGGAACATCAAGTTTTTCATGTAACACGGAATATGTCCTGTAAATCAAATTATAATCTGTTTTTCGAAACTTCTTCGGTGATTAAACTAATTAGCCTTTTCACTCAGCTTTATTTCATGTATTCTAATTAAATCATATTCTTTTCATTTCCATGAATATTATTGAAAGTCTAAGACTTTAGCACGCATAAATATTTTCAAAAATAAGTATGTTTACATCACGGGTACACAAAAAGTTTTGCTATAGTGACCAACAGAAACTTAAAGTAACATTTAAATAACGACGATATAATAATGATACGATAACACATTAAAAAAGAGCTTAAATAAACATGCATGTCCAGTAATAGTATATTATAAAACTATTAGTTTTATAATAAAGCTAATTGTTATATTATAATTATTACAAAATAACTTTAGTTCTGTTTCATTACTATTTATTTTTTTTTAAATTAAAAATATTATTTCGATTTAAATAACAAGCAAATACTAGTTTTCTGCTACATTCTACATCAGCGGTGTCTAACCTGTTTGTTTCACTGGGCCACATTGGAAGAAGTCATGGAATTTTGGGCCACAAGAATATTATATATACTTCTGACCCAAAACTTCATGACTATTATAAATTATATATACTTCTAGCCTAATCCCTAAACATACAAGTATATTTAAGATTTAACATGTCTACATTATAGTAATAAGTACTAAAACTTTATCACGAAAAAAAAAATATTTTAAAAAATTACTTTTACAGACACTTTCAATTTTTACTTAGAAATAGATAAATTCATTTATTATAAAGGAGAAAAACAAAAATTTATTTGAAAAACACAAATATTTATATTATTTGTGTCTCTAATTAATAAAAAACGACGAAACACCATTTTAAAGTGCATTATTATTTGACTAATATTTTTATTTATAATATGTAGCCCAAAAAATAACCATTGCGCCAAATGATATTTTTTTACATATCTAAAAAAAAGGGCACCAAATTTGGCACAAATAGCCAAATCTTGCAACTCTGGAAGAAATGTTAAATAAAGCTGGAGTTGGGATTCAATGATTATAGACCAAAATTCGAAAAAAACAAGAGAAAGGCTAAAGGAGAAAAAGTAGTGAGAAAAGTTAAATAGACCTTATGTTATACAAATATTGACCCTTAATTTTCCAAACTTCATCTTTTGTTCATTCTCTCCTTTGCTGGAATTTAGATCTATAATTATTCAGTCACAACTCCAGCTTTATTTAGAATAGCTTCCTCATTCAAACATATCTAAGTATTTGAAAATATTTCTTTTCCAGTCAAAAATAAAATATGTATGAAGGTTTACGGCTTTGTAACTTTTTTTTTTTTAGTTTATGCCGTTGAAATAAATAAAAACACTTGTCGGTGTTGTTTACACATTAATTAGGCAGCATTAAAAGTTTCTTTGGGAGAATGCGAATTGAACACCTCTGTTCTACAGTTAAAACACAGAATCGGCCTACGTAATCACCCACAAATTTAAAGAATTTTACTAGAAACATCAGCTTGAACTGAAATATCTTAATTTATTACCTACTGAAAATTTAGAAAAATAGTATAATAAATTTTATACAGTATGTTTTGGTTCATATATAAATTTCAAACTTTTTCATTTTAGAACAATATGATGAACATAACCAGAATAATAATGGAAAAAAAAGAAGAATTTACTATGGCACATTTTAGAGATTCATTAGGGAAAATAATTTCCAATCCAATAGTAAAGATAAGTATTATTATAATTTATATCATTAACTTATCATTCGGAATATGGGGCTTATTTTATATGGAACATGGTGTTAAGTATGAACATTTATTTGCAAAAGACTCTCTAGTTACGGAATCATATAGGATTACTCATAAGTACTTTAGAAGTTATTCGTATCCTTTTCACATAATTATTAATGAAACGTTGGATTACTCAGATATAAATGTACAAAAATCGATAGAAACTTTGTTGAAAAAATTCGAGAAACATCCAAATATTGCCGGAAAAGAATTCACTGTGTCTTGGTTAAAATTCTACAAAGAATTTCAGAAAAGTCCTGTAGCAAAATTTTCATTACAAGGCTACAATATGTCAAACAAGCAGGACTTTAATGATGGACTTCGCGACGTGTTCTTTAATATCCGAGCTGCTCAATCACTGTCTAATGACGTCGTCTTTAACAGCAACAAAACTGACATTTTATTCAGTAGATTTTTTATTATGGGAAAAAACTTGAATTCTTCTCACACAGAAGGGGATACATTAAGAGATTTATTGAAAATTGCTGACGAATCCGACATTCCTGTACTTGTGCATTGTGCTTTGTCAGGTCTTATCGAGCAAGGAATCATCATCGGAGAAATGATTCAACAATTATTTTGGATTACTGCTATACTGATAACATCAGTTTTTCTTTTGTTTGTACCGAATTTATTAGTCGAAATTACTGTTGCAATATCTGCCGTATCTGCAATGGTAGAAACATTAGGTTATATGTCGTTTTGGGGAGTCAACTTGGATATTATATCAATGATGAGTCTTATTCTGTGTGTGAGATTCAGCTTGAATTATCCTGCTCATATTTTGTATGCTTATGTCATCTCACAATGCAAAACACCAAACGAAAAACTAAAAGATTCTCTGTATCGTATTGGTTTTCCAATACTTCAAGGATCTTTGACCACAGGAATAGGTATATTGATTTTATATTCTGATGTATATTTTCTTTGCACATTTGCGAAAATTGTCATACTTGTTGCTATGGAAACGGCTTTTCATGCTTTGCTTTTTATTCCTGTTATTCTTTCTATCATTTATGCTATTTTCAATAATTGATTAATTTGTTGTCAAGTAGGAAATTTTCCTCTCACACTAATTTTTAAAAATTGTAGAACAAAAGTTGTTTTATATGAGTATAGAGGTGGTAGCAGTAGTATCAGTTTCTCTAATGCTGAGTAGCATACTGGACAGCAATTATCTTCCAATACATTCGATCGTGGGAGAAGACTTCAGCTTTCTCTATGTTAATTATATCCGTGGTCTCCGCATTGTCGTTTTTGTCACCGGGGAAAACCCATTTCATGGCTGCCCTATTACAGTAGAGCGTCATTTATCCGAATCAATAGGGAACTGGTTGTTCGAATAACTTATTTTTCGGATAACCGATTATGTAAAAAAAAAATATCTTAACCTATCCCGTGTTGAAATTTTTCTCCGTTGCGTGTCGCTTCGCGTTGAATGTTCGTCGATGTTAAGCTTAACGTAAACTTTTTAAAATAATAATCGTGGCTATTGTATCCTTAAAAATTATTTTTTTGTGTTGTACAAACGAAATAAATACATTGAAAAATATAACAACAAATAAAAATTATACTTTATGCTTGGAATTCTTTCGAATAACCGGCTTTCGGATAAACGACGCTCTACTGTATTCTCAATAAGAAAAATTTGATCAGGTAGTCGGACTCTTTGACAAGAGAAAATGCTATAAAGTTTACACATCTCATTTGTTTTGAGTCCATCTCACTCTTAATTGGTTATATGATCTAAATATCGGTTTTTTGGAATTCGTCATAAGCATCAATGTGGAAAACATCTAGACTTCTATATGTGTTTTCTGAAGACTTTTATGACTCACTTGCATAACTAGCTATTGAAATCACGATGGATGTGAACAACCGAAATTTCATTCTCAAAGAGATAAAGTGATGATCGGATTTTGTTCATCCACTGGAAGATAGTGGCTGCTTTTCCAATGCATCATTTCACATCCACTTTCTCCTTACCTTTCTGAGATATAACACTACCCACCAAGTAAAACTTTCGACCTTTTAGAATCGTTGTGCTTCGACAATTACTTTTGCGTTTGGGCAGTGTTATATACATGCATAATTTTTTCGACTTCGCAGCGGTTATCGTGAAGCAAATTTTGTCTGCCTGCTGACTTAATGTGGCTGTGGCATACTGTATCTTTGTTTCATTTTTCTGTAACAGTGCAACGTCAACAACAAAAACCAAATATCTAATACGATCCTGGTAAGACAAGTGAATTCCAGCTCGTATACGCGAACTGGGCCCATCTGTCTCTTTAATAACGTAATCGAATTCGACAAGAAAAAGGAAAAGAGGCAGAACACATCCCTGTTCGACTCCAATCATAATTTTTAGAAGTCCGTACTACCTCCCTCATTCTTGATGTAACAACTTGAATGCAAATATAAAGTCTGGAAAATAGTGAAAAGTTTGCCGTTTTGCAAGAATCATCAGAGGAACTCGCGAAGAACACTGTGAAAATCCTTTCTGAAATCAATGAAATTGAACGCCAATGAGTGTCGATACTCAACACATTGTTTGATGATATTTCGAACGAAGAAGTTTTGCTCACTGCAAGATCTTTTGCAGTGAAACGCAGCTTGCATCTCTCGCAAGCGATGATTGAAGGCAGGTGTCGAAGGAGAACCACACAAAATGCCTATACACGTGTGACCGGAGGATCGGATCCACGTAACGATGCCTTGTCAGGATGACACCAGAATGTCGTAATCGACATACGATCGCGATAGCGATCTCGTTCTTGCGCAAGCGATTATGTATAGAAGGGGTTATCTCTCGTGTTGGATCCGGATGGAGCCGACACGAGAGACAACGCGTTTAAGGAAGTGCACCAAACCCAAATTAAACAATAACAATTAACAGTTTATTTAGCTTATTATACAAAGATTATTATTTAAAGTAAAGGTTGAGTGTACGATTTAACAAATTCGCGTTATATGTTGAGAGAGAGAGAGAGAGAGAGAGAGAGAGAGAGAGAGAGCTTATATCTAGATAAGTTGTATAGATACCTTACAATGCCGGATTGATGAAGCTTGAAAAGTTACTTTTTTGCAGATGTTCTCTTCTTCACTAAGTTATTTTAAAAGAGTTCTTTTTCTTTAAGAGTCACTTTAAAAGTTCATTTATTCACTTATTCAAAGTGTTTACTCTAGACGGAGAAAAATCCAGGAGGTATTTGAATGACGGGCACATCTACGAGGCGAATTTCTAGCGACGACGACGTTCGTCATCCGACCCTCTATTTTATTGGGGGGTTTTTCGTGTCTTGTATTGTGTTTATTTTTTATTTTTTGAAATGTTATAGGTTGTGGCCAATAGATGACTTTCGATGAAACATTTGAATGGCACATTCGGAAGATGTGTCACCTTTTAAAGGAAATGAATCCGGTGGGAAACACAATCATATCCTTCTATTTATTTTAATTGTTGAGAAATATATATATATATATATAATCTTCTTGTGTTAATATAAAATTTAAACGTTAATTTTCTTTTAACTAATATAAAAGGTTATAATCGATAATAAAATCTGAGCTCTCACATAGGCACAGAAAGGAAGGCGATAACTCGTCTATTGGTACACTCGCACATATTTTCTCTCCTAGGAATCTTGATTATAACGCCCTTTTCCAATATTTACCCACATTTCCAGCATCTGATAAACAATTGCGTTAACTTGCTGCCTTCAGTGCTTCAAAATATCGACTGTAATTTTCGTCAAAACCGGCTGCTCTATTATTCTTTAGGCTCTTTATCGCAAACTTCACTTCTTCAAAAATAATATTACCAGTGTCTATCCCGAAGCTCATCCCGTGTATCCTTAATATGAAAATCGTTTGAGACGGTCAGTTCCGTTTGATTAAATATTCCTCGGAAATGTGCCATACACCTCCTGTTCTGCTCATCTTGAGCGATAAGAAACTGCCTGTTCTTAATTTTTATTAAAATTAAGAATTGCCCTTTATCCCAGTCAGTTCATTGACTATGCCGTACACGGTCTTGAAATCATTCTGGTCGAAAGCCTTTTGCGCTTCACCGCCATTTTTTTCTAAGTATTTTGTCTTGTTTTTTTCGAGAACTTTTCGTTACAGATCTATCTAACTCTAAATATCTTTGGCTTCCTTTCTCCATTTCAGCAATTGTCTTAGCCTGGTCACTTTTAAGTTTTACGGCTTTTCTCTCATAAATTAGTTTCTACGAGCGATCTTGGATCCATTGTCCCTTTCGTATAACTCGACGTTTTTCAATGATGATTTGCGCTCATTCCGTGAGAATGTATCTTTTAGTTGGAGAGATGATAGATACTCTCTTTAACTAGAGAGAAGTGATTTTGTAACTCCAGAGTAAACGCTTCAGCAAAGATTGGATCATTTAATTTTTCTATCGCAAATGGTCTTTTTACCATGAGCTGCCTTCAGTTACGAAGTTTCAGCTTAATGTTTGCTTTAAGTAGGTAATGGTCAGTTCCAATATCTGCACTTCTGTATTTATATGATGACTTCCACTTTTTACTAATACAGATAGTCTATCTCATTGAAACTGCGCCTGTCTGGTGCCCGCTAGGTTTTTTATGGATCAGACAATGTTTTAAGTATGTGTTCCCAACACACATTCCGTTGTGTTCACAAAACGATGTTAACCGTTCTCCATTGTCATTCATATGTGTACAAGACACATGAGCACCAATCACAGTCTCGAGGCCTCGACGGTCATCGCTCAATTGGGCATTAAAGTCCCCAATCAGGACCTTCAAATCATAATTCGGAATACAATCAAAGTCGTCTTGGAGCGGTTCGTAAAATTCATCTATTATTATTTTCTCCGCATTGTTAGTTGGCGCATAAATGTGATCTCTGAAGAATCTTCATCCAACGACTTTCCTACTCTCTCGTTTACTCAGAACAAGACCTACTCCACGTTCGTGCAGCTCTTCATTTCCAGCGTACAAAATGGTCTTGCCATCACTACTGATTCGGCCGTTTGTTTTCCATCTAACCTTACTGACGCCAAGGAAGTCCAACCAGTTTTCATCAAATCTCTAATAATTGAGCGAGTCTTTCACTCTGATATAAAGTACGCACATCTCACGTTCCAATTTTCTTAATATTTCTGGCAGAAAAAGTATTTTCAGACATCGGACATCGTTGTCGGTTTCCTCCAAAGCTGTCATGCTACTTGGGGCCGCAATTACGCCTATTTGATTAAAATTTCTGTTTATTCTTTCTATTTCTGTAGCACTCATAATTTTTACAGGGACGGGTTGCTAACCTAACGTTTAACTCTTTATTGTATATCAGGTAAATATTTTCTAATATTCAAACTCTGTTTTCCAACGCTTCATGTATTTCTATGTATAGACTAGTGATGTGCCGGATCATTAAAAATGTATATCCGCGGATACGGATACGGATACGGATACGGATAATTAGTGTCTAGATCCGCGGATACGGATACGGATACGGATCTCAACTTTCGTACTCAGTCGGCGCCGATGCGTGTGACCTTGGATCGATAGTTGACGCTTTGCGTTAATAACGCGACGTGTTTTGACTTGCACTGCGCGTGTTTTTGTTTATAGTGTGAAAGTGTGCTAAATTAGAATTCACCACAAAGGCAGACAGGATAAAGTAACAAAAGCTGATATAATTTTCCAATTAAGCTATTTCGCGTCTTTATAAAGATTCTATTTCGGGGAATTCCAACTTCACGGTACAAACAGTAGCATGCGAAATTACAACGATAATATTAGTTCGCTGTATCCAAAGCACGTGTACAATACAGATCCCGATCGCAACAATATAACCCGNGAGTTTTGTATTGTAAATTGATTGTTTATTCACCATTAAATAAAGTAATTGCAAAATATAAATTTATTGTATATGTGTTTATATATGTAACCTGTATATGAAATTAAATTCTTATGTTATAAAATATGCAATTATTGATTAAATATTTCTGCTGTTCTCATTTGCTTCATTGAAGGTCGCAATATGTAAGCAAAC